GCTTAACAATAGTACAGTAAAACAGAGTACAGGGCCTGGCGGAAGCCAATACAGTAAATAAACAGTGTCCAATGAGCTGTGCCAGTCAGGATGCAAAAGACTTTTCATACATATATACGTAAACAGTACAGAACAGTATGTACAATATTTACATTCATTCAGAATAGGGACTTAATCCCTTATAGAGTAGTACAGCACAGTGCAATCAGTCTATGCAGTTCACAAAACAGATACAGGGACAGAAGGGGGAAATAAAAGACCCCTAAGCGATAGCATGGCAGGCTCGGAACCTCGCAGTGAGGCATAGTGGTTGGCTTGACAAAACTGGAGTTTACCCCTGACGCTTTTAGTCACATTCTGGTGTCTGTACACCTATATATATATATGAGCAGTGAGCTAAAACCCAGTGAATAACACAATGCGTAAAGGGGTTAAAAATGAATGTCCTTACAGTAATGAAAACAGTTCATTAAATCAGTATTTCAGTCGTTCAGTCAGTGCAGTCATATGTGGTACATCCTCTAGCATAGCAGTACAGTAAACAGTAGGTCTTAAAAGACCGAACAGTAAATGATGGCCATCAGTCAGTAACAGTAGTGGTTCCAACGAGGGAACCGACAGAGATCTCTGTAACAGTAACAGTCAGTAACAGTAGTTGCTAAGGATGCCATAATACAGTTCAGAATAGAGGACATTCATTCATTCTATTAACAGTATCAATTCAGAAACAGTACAGTTCAATTGTTCAGAATTCATTCAATTAACAGTAACAGTTCAGAAAGCAGTACAGTTCAATTGTTCAGAAGATAATCATTTTGAACATATCTTTACACAAATGTTACTCATAGAGTTCCGGGCTACAGTAAAGCTAGAGCGCGTCCCCAGTCGCCAACCCTACACAGTTACAGATTAACACACACTAAGCTACACAGTTGGGAAAATAATAACTTAATCCCTAATTGCCTCGGTGTGTTTCTACATCTATATCTCAGTAAGATGTCTTAAACTAGGCCTAAGGATGCCTAGAATGAGATGAGGATACAAAGATGCTCTTGAAAAAGCATTTCCAGACTTTTCAGAAAATAGGGGTCACGCTCGAGCGTATGTTAAACCGCTCGAGCGGACATGCAGACAAAGGCTTCTGCTCGAGCGTAGACTTACCCGCTCGAGCGTTCTGCAAAACAGTCAAAAATGCTGGATAGGCGGAAATCACGCTCGATTGGGCGCTTGACACCCGCTCGAGCATGAGACACAACGTCCCGCTCGAGCGTCAATTATTCCGCTCGAGCGGACAAAAAATGCTGGGAGCACGATTTCCACACTCGAGCGCCAGTCACCCCGCTCGAGCGTGAGTCCAAATTCTGGAAATTCCAGATTTGAACCTCAAGCTCAAAACCAAGTTTTAAACCATAAATTTCGATCCTCTTGGGCCAATTTTCCAGAAAACACATCAAAACTCATACTTTAACATGATTCAAAGCTCAATTTGTAAAATCAAAGCCCAAGGGTGTTTCAAATAAATCCAATTCAAACCAATTTCCATGAATATGAAAAACATGCAAACATGCATGAATTTAAACCATTTCAAATGCTAGCTCAATTTGTGTCAATTCTTACAAAAACAAGATGAAATCATGGCTTATAATCAAAACATGGACATGCATGTGGCAAATTCTCCATGGAATCAACTCAAATTCGACAATTCAAACATGCATGCATGGAATGAGCTCCAATTCAACATTAATGAACCAATTCTTGACTTAACTCTTCAATTAGACATGAACCATGCAAGAATCAACTTAAACACAATAATGAGGGGTTGAATTTCCTTACCTAGGTCTTCAATTACAAGAGTAGAAGTTCAATTAGGCAAATCTCCTACAAATTCTCCAAGTCTCCAAGCTAGATTCTCACTTGAACTCAATTTCTCTCCCTCTAACTCTCTCTATGGTCGGTTGTGTGCAAGAAATGGGGGAATAAATGTTTTGTTTGAGTGTATGAGAAGGTCAAAAAGGTTCAAGTAGTGGGCCACTAAGTAGTCTAATTGTAAATAAGTCCAATTCATGTAATTTGGTACCATTTAATCTAATTTAATCATACCTAATCAGTTTTCAGATAAATATGCTATAAAATCACATAAATTACGATGATCATAAAACACTAATCGATTTCTGGTTCGGCCGCCGATAAGGCCTTCAATTAATAGTTTAACACAAAGACGCGAACAGATAATCAATTAACCCAACAGATAGAATTGCAATTAAACAGATATACTCAGTCAATTCGTTTTCAATTTCAATTCGTTTTCAATTCCAGTCAGTTAGTTCAGTAGTTTATTCAGGTCAATTGTCAGTCATAATCAGTTTCAGTTTAACGGTAATCAGTGGTTATTCGGCAAACAGTGACGAGGGTTGTTACATTTTAGTATTTTCATTATTAAAAAATTAAAACTAATAAAAAAAAATTAGTTGAGAGTTTGAACCTTAAAGAAATCCTATTGAATTGTAATTATATATAATATAGATATAAATTATTTAAAATTGAAAATATAAATATACATTACTCAATCATAATATGAGCTGGTTTGGGATATGGGTTGACTGTATTTTAATCTGGGGCTAAAAAGTCTCGTTTGGGATAAGTTTTTTGATTTTTTTTTTTACTTTTATGAGAACAAAAATGAAATAATCATGAGCTGAATGTGACATTTTGTCTTATTTGGTTAAAATAATCTATTTTATCGTATATGGCTATTTTAGCTTAAATGTTCTTCCCAAACAAGCTCTATATATAAATCTCTACATATATATATATATATATACACGTTTAGTGTGTATGAAAATAATGAGTTTTGATATATCCGTTAAGTAATAATGGCCATGGTGAGAAAAAAAAAATATATGTTGCAAAATTTTAATTAAATAAATCATTTTATACTTTACAATGAAGAATTTAAAATATTTTGCAAATATTTTTTGAGTGTGTGATTTATTAATTATTATTTTTAATTGGAATGTAAGGAATGAATAATTTTAAAAATAAAAAATGTATTTTTTATTTAAAAAAATTAAGTATGTAATTTATTAATTATTTTTTAAAATAAAAAATTAATAAATTTACATCGAATTCTTAAAATTCTCACTAAATATAATGGTCTCTTTTGGAAAGTTGACTATTTTAGTAAATTATTTTAGGTTTTTAACTATTTTAGTGGATTGAAATATTTGTTTTTGGGAAGAAGGTTGCATTTTTTTTTAATTGGATGTGATTTTTTTTTTAAACGGTAAAAAAAAATTACTTTGAAGTGTCATCACGGCATCTGTGGGCATAGGCTCTGAGATAATCGGTTGCCAGCTTGGTTTGATAAAACTTATAGGAAACGACCCATTATCGAGATACCAGTGGAGCTCATCAATCACCCCTAGCAAGGTCAAGGTTCGATCGGATATGAGGTCTCCGAAGAGAACCACTGGAAAATACCCAGCATTTCATGCCTCCCAATAGTCGAACTTGACTCATTGTTGATGCCTTCACCACTGAGCCACCACTCCCGATTGTAATTGGATGTGATGTTCGTGAAAAAATAGAAAAATAATTAAGAATTTGATGTGATATTTTATCTTATTAATTATTTTAACATATTTTGTTTTTTGTTTTTTGTTTTTTTGTGTGTGTAGATTTTAGTAAAAAAAGAAAGAAAGAAAAAAAAGAGTTAATTACCTAAAAGTCTTATTTAGAAATGTTATGGAAGTTCAGGTCCTATCTAAGATTTTTTGAACCAATAAATCCTATTTAATAAAACTGAGAATATTATCAATTTTTTTTAATTTTTAAAACTAAGATTATTATTAATTTTGCATAGTAATGTCTTAGATAATTGTTTTACTAACTGATGAAAGAAAACAAAACATGAGATTAAACATTTTTACATTCTACTTATTGATTTGATTTAACTATCAGGTCCTATCTAAGATTTTTTGAACCAATAAATCCTATTTAATAAAACTGAGAATATTATCAGTTTTTTTTTTTAATTTTTAAAACTAAGATTATTATTAATTTTGCATAGTAATGTCTTAGATAATTGTTTTACTAACTGATGAAAGAAAACAAAACATGAGATTAAACATTTTTACATTCTACTTATTGATTTGATTTAACTATCCAATAAAACAAAAAATATTATCAAATTTTTTTTAAATTTTAAAATTAATAACATTGTCATTTTTTTTAAAGAAAATTTTTAGTTTTGTACAAAAAAAAAATCAGTTTTGCATAAAAAAATTAAAATTTTTTTTGCACATAAGTTTTTGTTTTTATAGTTTTTTCAATTTGATGATATAAAGTTTTAAAAATCAAAATAAATGTTAAATCATCATGTTCTTTTATAAATAATAATAAATGATAAACAATTATTACTTAAAGGACAATTATAACTATTAAAAATTTAATTAAGACTTGAAAATTTAAAAAATCTTAGTTAAAATTTAATAGAATATAAGTTCATAAATTAAAATTATATATAAATGCCAAAAAAAAATCCCTAAAATTAGGTTCCAAACAGCCCAATATATCAGTGCTTGTTTGGCTAACATTTTGAGACTAAAAAAAGTATAAAAAGAAAAAATAAGCTATATAAAGTAATAAGATAAAATATCATTTTTTACTTATATTTATTACACTTTTATTTTTACAAAAATTAAAAAAATCTCAAAATAAAAATTAAGTGACGCCAAAAAATTTTCAAACTAAAAAAATTAATTATATATTAACCAATGTGAAACCACAGCTTAGACAGTTACAGATAGATCTAATTGGAAAATGATTGAGAGCCCTAAAAAAATTGCCCCTAATACCCCTAATTTCCAATTTTAGAAACTGTTTTTTTTTTTCTTTTTTTTTTTTTTTTTTCTTTTTACCCGAAATGGAATTTCGAGCCATTCGGGGCTCTCCATTTCGGGCCCTCAATCACCGCCCGGTCTAATTATACATTTTTTCGAATATCGGGAAGTGAGTGCAAATTACCACAAATAAAAGCCCGCAAAATTGTCTCCTCCGTCGCTGCGTCTCACTCTCTCTCTCAGTTGGTCACCGGAAGGCTGAAGCTTCACAGTCAGAGGAAGAAGATAAATTCGAACTGCCGCGAATCGTTAGTAGCCTCTGTCTCCTCTCTTTGTGTGTGTGTGTGTATATATTTATGTATACAATCATAGATTTTTTTCTCTGATTTTACATTTCTTCGACTTTTGTGTTTTCTCAGATTTTTAGCTTCTGCTAGTTTTTCAATTGCACCTCCTCAATCATCAATGTCAGGTTTTCAAAAGTTCAAATTTTTCGTAGTTAATTATAATAGTTGTAATAATATATATACATATAAATCTGCTTAGGGTTTCAACATATTTTCAAATGGAGGCAATGGCTGAAAACCCTAGCAGTAGACTATCCTCTGTTCCCCTCTTGCACCCACCTCAGATCTACCCTTCATCATCACAAACCTCAAAGCAACAATCACATCAATTACAACAACACCCAACTTATCTTGAAACCCCTGATGTGTCCACAAGAGCTAGAATTCTCTGTGAAATTCTCACCAAGGCGTCACCTGACAAGGTCGAGACCGCTCTTTCTTCCACTGGAATCAAACCCTTGCCCGAAATTGTCGAAGAAGTACTCAAACACTCATATGGGTTTCCCTCGGCTGCTATTACGTTTTTCCGGTGGGCTGGGATGAACCAGAAGCACTCCGCCTATGCGTGGAACCTGATGGTAGATTTGCTTGGCAAGAACGAGTCGTTTGAGCAAATGTGGGACGCAATTCGATCGATGAAGCAAGAAGGGGTCTTGTCTGTGGCAACGTTTGTGTCGGTGTTCGGTAGCTATTGCAGTGCAGGTAAGATTAATGAAGCTGTCATGACCTTTGATGTGATGGACAGGTACGGAGTTGAGCCCAATATTGTGGCTGTGAACTCTTTGTTGAGTGCAATATGTCGCGAGAATAACCAAACTTTAAAAGCGCTTGAGTTTTTTGAGCGGATTAAGACTAAGATTGCCCCAGATGCGGATTCGTTTGCTATTTTGTTGGAAGGGTGGGAGAAGGAAGGGAATGCTGCGAAGGCAAAGAACACATTTGGGGAGATGGTGATTCGGGTTGGTTGGAGCCCACAATACATGTCTGCTTACGATGCATTCTTGACAACTCTTGTTTGTGGGTCGCAGGTTGACGAGGCAATCAAGTTTCTTCAAGTTATGAAGGGGAAGAACTGCTTGCCAGGTTTGAAATTCTTCTCTAATGCTCTTGATATTCTTATCAAGCAGAATAATTCAGCCCAAGCTGTCCTTTTGTGGGATATAATGGTGGGTAATGGATTGATACCCAATTTAATAATGTACAACGCGATAATTGGTTTAGTTTGCAACAACAATGACATTGATAATGCTTTCCGTTTCCTTGATGAGATGGTCTTTTATGGTGCTTTCCCTGATTCTTTGGCATATAACATGATTTTCCAATGTTTGATCAAGAACAAGAAGGTTCGCGTAGCGGGCAGGTTTTTCTTCGAGATGATCAAGAATGAATGGCCTCCAACACATTCAAATTGTGCTGCTGCCATCACCATGTTCTTTAATGGTGATGATCCCGAGATGGCAATTGAAGTCTGGGAATACATGATTAAGAATCATGTTCTGCCTCTTGAAGTGAGTGCAAATGCATTGCTAACTGGGCTTTCTGATATGGGCAGGCTTACAGAGTTGAAGAGGTTTACCGAGTATATGCTTGATAGAAGGGTTGAGATCTATGAATCGACAATGGAAAAGATGAAACATGCTTTTTTTAAGGAGGGCAGAAGTGCACGTGATACATATGATAGTCTTTCGAGGAAGTGGAAATCTTCCTAGATGTTGTTGCATTTTGTTCTTTCAATGGGCTTTAGGAACTTTTTTGGTAATATGCGACACTTCTTAGTTGTGTGGAAGTTATAAGTGCAAACATTATGAACACAAGCTAGTTTTACCTTTTATTGGTAATTAATCCATAGTGAATGGACTGCATTGCTTCCCCGTACCTTTGCATTGAGACATGTTATCATTTTATTTGCTGTTTTCCTGTTCGCTGGTTATGCCCGCCTTGTTCCAGTAACTTGTTTAATTTCAGTTTTTTATACCTATTTTGTCTTCTCTTTACATATAACTTTTTGAGGGCACATGGGTTATTGATGTATATTGCTTTCTTAGTTTCCTTACCCCTTCTCAACATGATAATGATGGGACAGGAGTGCTTCATTAATTTTGTGCCTTTTTTGAATGTGTGTGCACATGTATTTTTTAAGCTTTTATTGAACAACTTTTTTTTCTTATATTTTTTCTTGGGTTTTTAGATCTTTAGAAAGTTACGGTTTTTGAATGCTATTTTTTTCCCTACCCAATCATATATGGTGTCTGATTTTGCAAATGCCTACTTATGTAATTCTACTCGTTTGTTGGTTTTGTGTTTCTTAACTAAAACACTGATAGAGTGCTTTCGAAGGGAAGTCAAGGATTACCATTAGTATTAACTTCTTTTCGTTTATTCTGTTTAACACACAAGAGAATCATTTTGGGCTTGTTTCGTTTCTATCTCAAGATACAATTTTTGAAAAAAAATTTCAAAATTTTGTTTGGTTCAAATTTTTTGAAAAAAAAATTCAAAATCACTTTCTCTGTCCTACACATCAATCAATCACTTTTTCTATTACACACATCTACTCAACTACAACAAAATGTCAAATCATCCCAAACTCCCAAACTATTTTCAAAATATGCAACCAAACAAATCAAAAAAAATTCTAAACTCTCTCCCCAAATTTTTTTTTGAAAATTTATCTCAAAATACAAACTAAACACACCCTTTATTTTTTTTTCCAATACTCCCATGAAATGGATTAAAATGTGGATGATTGAGGATGAGTGTAATACCTTAGGTATTACCATGTCTATTACTTGAGGGTTTTATTTGGATGACATTCCTTTTATAATGCATCTTGTCTTAACTTCCATATGGGTTAAATAGGTCCTATACTTTGTTAGTGGGATAGGTGGCAAGTTCTTGTATTGACACATCATTACACATATGCAAGCCTAAGTCTTGTAGCTTTGACAATCCGCAGGCCCATGGTCCTTCATATCTCGCTCTAAGACCAAACAAGAATATAATTAGCCCACAGCTTATTTGGACTTGGATTGATAAGCCTGGCTCGCCTAAACATTGAGATATGCGCCTAGCCCATTCACCTACTTGGTTGCCTAGGTTGGGAACAGGACCCAAGCACTACTGCTTGGGATTATCAGAGGATTTTGGATTGGCAGCTGAGGTCATGAAATCGCTGAGATGGTTGTCTTCTTACTAAGACAACTCCATCTCGATCAAGCTTGGAGAAGAGACAACAATGACCTTACACTCACGCCCCTGATGCATATATGATATTTTGCTTTCCGCCTGCCATGAAATGTTGCTCTTCCGCTTGCTATTAAGCCACAAACGGTAGTAGGACTTATATCACTTCTGGTAGAGTTGGGAAGAACGAGTCACCTGTCCAACAGGTTGCTTGGGCTCTAATACTCTTGCGGCCTATATAACGTATTCACTTCACCACAACATAACTCCATAACTCTAACACATATAAGTCTTACACTTAGACACTCCCTATCACACTCTGCATTAGTGTTCAAGGTCCATCAGTACCAACCTCTCCCTCTTCAACCTTGCCTTGGCCTCGTCCTCTCCACCTCCAGTGATCTCAGGCCATTGAAGTGCCCGCCCTCTTCCCAGACTATCTCTAACCACACCTCTCACCCACAGTAACCTAACTTGATTTGTATGCACCCACTAATCTGCTTAACTTTCTTGGTCAATTTTGAAACCATGGGTGGTCAGATGAGGATGAATGCAATCCTCTCGACTCCGGCCCGTGAGTACCTTTACATGCAAGACCAAGACCTTGGCAAGTGTCTACCTTTAAGGACACCTTACCATACACGTGGGTCTTATACTTAGAACAAGAGTTTTGAACTTTTGCCCTTTCTCTCTCTCTCTCTCTCACACACACACACACACACACACACACACACACATAGAGGGAGGGAGGGAGATTCATAATCTTGCAATGTAATTATGCACACCTTTATACAAATTTAGTTTTGTTGTACTTAAACCCACCTTTTGATGTTGGTGGTGAAAATCACCATTAATGACCATGGTTATCTTCAACATTCATTGTAGAATTGGACACTTTAGACTTTTTTTTACTACATGCATGCTTGGATAACCATGTGTTCGAGACCATAGATTTCACATTTATGATGAAATAGAAGTAAGATTGTGTTTTGATTCCATTGTTGAACTTGTTGAGACTTGTAGGAGTGTTTGAACCCAATCTAATTTAAATTTGTTGCTTTAGTGGCATCCTTTGGTATTGGTGGTGAGTGGAGTGTCTGCACTTGGGTTACCTTGAAATGTAGAGTTCCTTTAGCTTAAAGACCTTACTTTGTGACTTTTGTATGTTAATCCATGAAAACTATGGTTAGATTGTGTTTTGGTGTGAAAATCTACCCTAGCTTTGCCTAAAATTCGGATTGCACTATGTAAGGGTCGACACCCTGTAGGAAGTGGTTGACTCCAAAATCCAGCAACCACCAAGTTCCTTTCTGTAACAAGGAGTCGACTCGAAGTCTGTTAGAGTCAAGTTAAGACCAAACTTGTTTGAGTCGACTCCAAGCCTGTCGCAGTCAACACCAAAACAAATTTTAGAAATTTTTTTTTTACATTTCTATTTTAATCATTGGCCTTAGGAAACCCTTTGGGCATTTGATAGAGGGTTATAACGGACCATACCCTACATCAATCAATCTCAATGAGGATCAACATGAAATTTAATATCACTAAGGCATGGAGCACTTATTAATTCAGCAAATTGGATCATTCTTTTGGTCCTTACATGTACTTCTATAGGAAAAATCAATTTGGCCAAGGACCGAGGTAAGTAGTCTAATACAAAATTTTTGTTTTGCAAATTGATTTACAGATGCTCAAATGCTACAAATTCAAAATGATGTGATTTATATGATGCCACTTCATTAATTTTATTCAAATGTTTTGGACACCATAAATATTCGTATGCTTGAAAATGTGATTTGATCTATTATGCGTCATCCATGATTAGTCCCTTTTACTGAAGGACAACTAGTATGTTAGTAGCCATAATCGCGGTAATTCCCTATATGTGTCACTATATGTGACTTTGCCACTTGTGGCTTATATGTTTAGATCTTGAGTTGACATGGATATCTGTCTGTATATGGTCCATTGTGGTGTGCATTGCTTATTATTAAACGTGATTACATTACATGAGCGTGCTTGATATATGTCAAAGTTTTGTATATAATACTTGTACACCATTCAACCCTGAGGGGTTGGTCTGGTGATAAGGCCTTCGGTCTTGGGGTGTTTTCCTTCTAAGGTTTAGGGATTGAAACCTCTTAGATACTAACAATTCCTTGGGGCCATCAGACTGGGAAAAAATCTTTGAATTAATCGTGGTGCACTTGCAGAAAACTCCTTGCCGAGGACCTGTGCAATCTTGGGGATTAGTCGTGTTTTGATTCGGATACCTTAGTGCCAATAAAATAAAATAAAAAATACTTGTACACCATTCAAATTCTCTGCATTTGACAAAGTTTGTACAAGCTCTTGATTTTGGCAAATGTATTGATTCTTGAAATGTAGTATCCATGGTATCCTTAAATGGAATATTTTGATATTCACAAGTTGTTACCTTCTCACCTTGTATTTGTTTTCAGGTGATGGGAACTAAGAGACGTAGTTTGAGAGTTCCTTGTTTTGTATATGTACTTAGTTTTGGTTATAACCTTTTTGTATGCCTCGTGTTTATTTGAAGCTGTATATGTAGATATGGTAGGTTTGTAATGGGTGGATGAATGCTTGTTGGTGGGGATCTATGTATTTCCATTGGCTATTTTGGTATGTACATATTTTATGCTACGTGTCTTACGATCTCAGAGTAATACTTCTTTTGTGATTATATCATGCTATGATGTGTGTGGTGAGCAGACTTAAGCACTTGCTCTGATGGTATGACCATACATGTATGTGTCTAATTAGCACCTTGTTTATATTTTTCTTCCATTGTATCTAAGTTAATGAAACACTTAATTGTGTATAGAATAACCTTTGAAGTTAGCATAACAAAGAAAATGAGGTTTCCTTATCGAAGCCAATGTTGAATGGCTCAGAGATAAGCATAAGAAAGAAATTGAGCTTTCTTTCTTAACAATGGAGAAGTTCTCACAAGAAAGTGCTGGGGTAGTGTGGATCCTGGTAAGTATTGATCACTAAGATCGACATTGGAGTATAATGTGGATGACAGGGCCCTCTAGGTAGATGGTAGGCAATAATCTAGCTAGAGATCACCTGAGGCAAAAGAGGTAGATGAGGAGAGAGCCAAGCAACCTTGGGAGAGAGATGGTGGCAATGGAGAGCTCTGTGCATAACCAGAGAAGTAAGGGATGATGGTGGTGATATTGTATATGTTGTATGCATGGGAGGCCCCTTTATATAGAATGGCCAAGATAGGAGCCAACTTAGCTGAGAATAGGTGGCTTAACCCCCTTGCATAGACAAAGTGAAGCAAACTTCGATAAACTCTACACCCTAAGCATGGGCTTGGGAAATGTCTCATATGTGGACAATGGATAGGTATGATAAGCGCCTTATGGGCTATGCTAGAGTAGCTCAGAGTGAGGTATGATTTGACAATTGAGGTGTCATGTTTTGGTCAAGGCCCCTCTCTTTAAGATTGGCTTGAGCACTCCTTACCTTAAGGGGAGGTATGGTGAAGTGTTTGGACGAATCCTTGAACTCTAATAGCCAATTCACAAGTTCTATGGTGATCCTTGTTGGGGATTTTGAGAGCCCATTAATGTACGACAACATGGCTTAATCCGTTGGGAGTGACTGAGGAGTTTTCATTTCTCAACACCACGGTCCAATGCACATTGTTTCGAACTCATATTCACTTGAAAGTGTAAGCCTGTTAGTG